TTCTCATCATGGTATTGAATGAATACGTAAGTTTACATAAAGATGGCAGTGTTACACCAACATAAATTTATACAGACATACAGTCTCCTGCACATCCAAAGAGAAATATATCTGCTTCAATAAACTACCCAACTGGAAATCATTGATACATACAATATGTATATTTCGGAGGATTAGTTTAAAGAGCAATGAACATTTGACTATGAAGGTGGCAAAAGAATACCAGAGAGCCTTTTCAATGAAAGACACATGTAAAAATAAGCCAGGATTTAAACGTTTAGGCAAATTGGTTTCCAGGTTTGGTTTGTGAATTGCCATATATATAGTCATAATATACAGTCGAATGCACATTGGTAAATTTTAACTCAGGAATGAATTGACCATGGGGGATTTAAAATAGCTTGGTTTCCAGGTTTGGTTTGCCAAATATGCAGTCAAATGCACATTGCAGAATTTAATCTCGGTAATGAATTGACAATGGGGGATTTAAAATAGCTTGACTGTGAAGGATATAATACCATAAATATTTACATTGGCTAATTGCCAGATTCATAAATCAAGTGGGTGATCTAAGAAAAACATTAAACTCACCAACTTGGTTCTTATTACAATACTAAGTACCAGATTACTCGTATTAAAAAGAAAATATTTAAAAATTTCAAAATAATTTGTGCGATAAACATACAATACACACTTACTACTTTTTGGAGTTATTGCAGATAATGTTGATTAATGTTATTCAATGGGCTTGCTAAATAATTCAGGTCATTGTTAGACATCTAGTTACCCTAGTATCTAGAATTTCTGGATAACAGAGGCTACATCATGTTGTAAATCAGCAAGAATTGATGATGATAAAGTGATATTGTTCATTAATCATTAGTACCTAATAACAAATTTGATATTGAGTTTTGAAAAAGAGCAAAAGTCATTTAAAGTTTGGATTGGGGATAATTTCATTTATTGTGAATGAAAGAGTTTAGATGTGTGCATATGAATAATGCACTGCTTAGAGTCTTAGAGACCCATGTCGCTGATTTGGAAGCGTTGGATAGATCCTGTTCTAAGCTTGCCAACAATTTTGCCATTGGAACTCCAGGCAGATTCCACTTCAGGCGATTTCTTAATGTAATCGAGGAGTTGCCTGTTGAGTGGGCTTAAGTCCTCAAATACCAATATGTTGGAGCCTTTCAGATTCTTTTTGTTCTTCATTATGATATCCTTGGTGCCACGGAACTTCAGGCGAGCAATTATGTGCCTTGGTTTTGAGTTATTTCCACTTGTGATGCGTCCTACCCTGTGTGCTATTTCAACATCGGTGGCTTTGAGTTCATTGTGAACTTTGTGTTGCACTAGAGCTTGTACCACTTTCTCCGCACAATTTTCACCCTCGTTCTCAGCAATGCCTAGAACACGGATAGTGGTACGCCTACTATATTGGGCATTATGGTTGCAGGCAAAACGTAGATCTTTGAGTTCAACTTGAAGGGTAGCCACATCTTCCTTAAGTAATTCATTTTGGGTTTCTAAAGATGACAATTTATTTTTGATTGGTTGTACGGTAGCGTTAATCAATTTTTCTACATTTACCATGTGTGTCTGAAACTGGTTATCAAAGTGCTGCTGTAGATTTGTGAGATCTGTTATGGTCAAGGCTCTGTTTGGATCATCATGTTGTGTCGCTATGGCTGGTTGAGGCATAGGTGGCTGGTTATGTTGTTGTGATGGGATCTGCCCCTGTGGATTAATGGTGATTGGTGTTTGTTCCCTCACTATAATATAGCCCGGGGCCCGTTGGGTATTCACTGGCGTAGCGGGAACAAATTCATGGAGCCTGCTCTGAATTCACCATATCTTCATTTCAAAGGTTTCAGTTGCTTCATATTATCCACATTGGAAGTAGAAGTAGTCTATGAACATTGATTGTTGAAAAAATCATTGGGTTTGGGTGACATCTATAAATGAATATAGATTTAAAATCATGTCCTGCAGTAAAATTTCGAATTTAAACAGAGATGATTGATTGATTCAGGTGATCATTTTTATCTGCATCCAATATTTCAAAAAAGTATCTAAATTCCAAATTGTCCTTTTCAAAAAGCTTTCTACTCTGTTCCAATCACCCATTTTCCTTTTCTCACAATATTTGAAAAACAACCAATAAAATGGCTTCTAGGCTAAAAAGTAGTATTCACCCCCTCTCATTATCCAGGTCTGAACTCAGTGACTCTTAATTTGTTACATAAAACATATTACAGTTATCATTATCTTTCTACTGCTCTGATTTCTCAACTTGAGTAGAGTAACAAACATTTGCCAGAACTTATATCTCATATAGTAAACAATATTATGCGCCAATTCAGTCTAAAATTTAATGAACAGCTTATAATATTCATGCATTTTCATACAAACTGGATTCCTGCCTTTTTCATTTTTTTTATCTTATGTGCAATTCAATTTTTTCTGCCTTATTTCAAATTTCAAACAATAATTCAAAAACTTTTTATTTCCTGGAAAATATAGAGTGTTTTAGATACTTGTCTCAAAATTGGTATTCAGTAGACTCTGGGAGAATTTAAAAATCGAGGCATTCATTTGAAATATAAACTAACGCTGTCATCATTCAAAATTTTCTCGCTTCACCATTTCCATTAATTTAATTTTGCTGCTTCAAGAAAGTGTTTCATCTAATGTTACACATATCAAATCATATTCAACAGACCAGGCATTTATTTGATACATAACATGGAATAAATGTAATATCTGGCAATTCAGATCCACAAAAGCATCAGAATAAACATACCCTTTGCTAGAAATCAAATTCATCATCACTCTTTACACACAGACATCCTTTGCTTTAAAGCATATATTCTATATTATGCATGAGAATAGTCACAAGAATTCAAACAACATTTTCTTTTCTCCCAACTAATATTATCACATTCAAACTCCTATAAAAGGTCTAAAATACACGAGTTCGAGATCATTCAGATCTCATATCACCCATTATGTGAAATCACTTATAATAGTCAGAGGGATGTATGAATGAGGGAAGAATGAGTGAGGGTAGCCGATGGGGGATTCGGGATTTAATAAGCATTCCAGATGATTAAGACATTCAAAGAAGATTGCCTTTGTGCAAATTTACAAATCACCAATCAATAGTTTTGAGTAATATGCCTAGAACATAATCAATAAATAACTGAGTGTGTAGAATTACAAGAATACCTGACTACCCGACCTGCCTCTTTATTGATTGTTATAATATAACAACAACATGATTAATAATATTATAAATAAGAAATGACTTTTTAGGAATAAAACAATGGTATCATGCTCCCTTGGAGCTATTAATAGTTGTTTCATAACAAGACCTAGAAGGAATAATAGAATAATACTCAGCATTAGTTAATACATATGCAGTTAACACTGATTATTTGTGAATGCCAAAATACTGAGACCAGATGCTGTGTCAATGAAAATGTCTTTCTCTCCACCCTGCGACTTATTAAAACAAATCTTTCAACACAATTCTTACACATATTACAAATTGACAGTCTTAGATCAGTTAGATAATAATTCAAACATACTACATTTACATTTACTTGGAGGTTTTGCTTTAATTGACCCTAATTATTTCAGATTACGATGATATAGCATGCGTCAGAATCATTCCATGGTTAGACGTATTGCAATATGACATTGCGATGGATGAACCCAGTGTGACTCGTAGAGGAGTAGAATTTCAATTATTTCATAGACACATGAAGCCCCATCTAAATGACATCACATGGGATAAGAACTAGCTTTTTCACATAAATATGACACAACACAAAGCACAATGAACAAACCTTGAACAGATACTAAAACAAAAAATGCAAGTTTAATACCAGTTTCCTTTGATAAAATGTCATAAAATGAGCATGACCCAGGTGTGATTTTATGTATAGGTGAAGTACAATGAGGAACATTTAAAGAGAAAACAAAGCTGGTCTAACTAATTAAGACCTGGTCTCTATACAGAATTTTAACCTATTTCACATACATGTACATGCATTTTCCCTATCAATGACTAAAAATTTTCAAAATGCAACTATAAAACACATAACAAAAAGTAACTATAAAATATTTTTTCAAGCTTCAGCGCCCGAGGGTTTCACTCCAATATACTTCTTAATACCTATGTGCCGCCCCAAAGACCCCCATTTTGAGCATTTTTCCATGTCAATTTCCTCTCAAGATTGAAGGTTTCCATGTTTAATTCCTTTGATACTAATAAATGACTAAAAATTTTTTTTTAGTAATTTGCTCCAGTCCTCAGCAACTGATTTAACAAATTTAATATAATTTTCTGAAAAACTGAATTTTGACTTAAAAAGGGTACTTTCTTGGACAATTTTCCATGTTTTTTTCCTCTCAAATTGGCCAAGTTCCATGTTTTCTGCTCAAAGCCAAAATTGACCATGCTGCACATACCTACCCAAATTATTTGGAGTGGACCCCCCAGGCTTCAGCGATTATAGAAAAGAAGGTTTGTATCCTATTGAGTATGTTAGTTTAATATCATTATGAATCAAAAATGTTCTAAGGTTATTTGGATGAGAATTACAACTACAGTCCTTTAACAGCACATAGCACTGCAGCCATTTGAATCTTTGGGGAAATACAGTAGAAACTTTTATCTTATCGTGCATGTGATTCATTTGTTAATTTCAATTTAAATAGACTGGGATATGTAGTAAAATCTTCACGTTTTCAGTAATACATGGTACTGTTAAACATTTTTTAAGTTTCACAATGTTGTAAAAAGGTGAATGCATATGAGCCAGTTTTAAAATAAAGTAAAAAAATAGCAATAAAACGATAACAATAAAGACATATGAAATAGAATCAAGCTAGCCCTGAGGAACACAAACTAGCATATCTTTTGTAACAATTGTATTGGTAATGTTTCGATAGCTTATGGTGCTATTCAATATAATATACCAGTGTGTACTTACCAAACCTGTCTTTTCATCCATTCTTTAGAGCATGTTGTTCCGAAATTGTTGATATCTTAAGGATTACATTAATCTGAAAAAATAAGATAATATATATGAAAAACAACTACCCAGGGCACACAAAACCCTTTTAAAACAATTTTAAAACTATGGCTGTAATAAAATGGTAATACGCTGCAATACATCACAACACAAACAACTTCAACTGGACACCACACATACAAACAGTGGTATTGAAATCGAACAAGTTGCTGGGCTTCCTCCGGCATAACCCCCACCAGTGCCCAACCATACAAGTAACGAGTATGGCCAAACCTAGAACATGCTAGTGCAGCATTGGATCCTTACCGCCAAAACTAGAATATCAACATGCTGGAGCAGGAAGAAAGCAGCCAAATTTGTAACCAAATGGCATTCTAGGGAACCAGGCTGTGTCATCCAAGTTCTCCAACACCTGGAGTGGAAATTGCTACAATCCTAAAGAGAGGCCTCAGACATTTTTCCAGAAAGGATCTCACAATCTAGCTACCATCTCTATATCAACATACTTCAACCCTCAGTCCCTTATACAAGCTATAAAAATATTAAGATTTTGTCAAATGTTAGGTTTAAATTATATTCTATTCAAATTCTTAGCTGAGATTTCGTACAATGTGCAAAAATCTTTTTGACGAATGAGTAAAAATGAGTAAAACAGTCACAGTCAATTGCAGTAATACTATTTCAGTTGCGCTATTCAAACTTTGAATGTTCTGAAATCGATTTCAATGGCAAAAGATTCCATATTATAGAATTGGCCTTGAATGTGACAATGGCATCTCTCAGATATGGGAAATCTCCTATTCTGTGACCTGTCTTCTGTTGCTAGGCTCTTCTAGGCTAGCCTAAACTTACAGTGCTGATATAAAATAATAAAGGTGCGTTTTCAAACTAAACAGAGTGCTCCTACCAAAATGAGTTTGCCTACATACCCCTGAGACTCTTATCTGATAGATGGAATGCACAAATAATACAAAAGTTTTGCTATTATAGGTCAAAAGTTCTCTTAAAATTTCGAAGTGATTTTACATGTTAATTCTGTCATTGGTCCGCCATTTTTGCGAAAATTACGCTGAAACGCAAACTCCATGAAACGAAACGAAATCACTAGAAAAAACATGACACACATTGTGCGCATGTGCAGCAAAGTTTAAACCAATCAAATTATTTAATTATTTTGCGCACATGAATTATTGGCTTCTGAGCACTTACAAGCTAACCACAATGAACAAACCTGGCAGAGACTACCCTTAGCCTACTTCGCTTTTCAGCTCAAACTCGTGACAAATATGCATATGCTGGTATGAAGTTACCTTCTTCTAAGGCCACTGTATCTTGGCCTTCCAGTAAAGATATATTCCTGCATGAACAACTGGTCATGTCGTAATAATAAAATTTGAAATCATATATCCGCCATTTTTCCACATCACAATTTGAATTGCGAGTTTTGGTCTTATTACCTCACCAAAAATTCCAAAACACACATAAAGTGATCAGTGTATTAGTTCACATCTTCTGGATCGCTAACTTAGAATTTACAGCCAGTTACTAATGTCAGACGTTAACGACATTTCGTCCAGTTTTCGAACATCGCCCTTTTTCTTGGAGCCATTTTGTTTTAATTTTAGACAAAATCCTGATGAAATCATGTCATATCTCATCAAGGAGCCGAGCAGGGTCCGTTTTGATGAATGATTTATTTATCTGGTGATTTTTAAAATATTCAATAAACTTATGACACCACAGCCAGCTTTTTTCAAATGGAGTTTACAGTATTCCAGATGAAATCCCCTCTAGCCAAGTATTGGCTAGAGACTCGAGTAAGTATGAAGCCTTGGAGCCACTCATTTTGGTAAATATATATGTGTATACTTTTCTGTAGTTTGGGACATAAAATGTAGAATTCAAGAAAATATGACAACTATACGACTTATCAACTAATTTGTAAGCTTAGGCCACAGATATTGGCCAGATCGTTTTCTAGTAGGATCGCATAGGCTCAAAGAATAATTCACAAGATACGACACTAAATTGGAAAATTTCAAAAAAATATGACCACCTTTTAAAAATGTTCCTTATACAAAATGGTACCTGCTTCCCCATGACAGATTTTGCACTTATTTTATAGCTGAGATCTTCATCTTTCTATTTCTACTTGTTTGGTTCGAGTAAATAACCTATGGATGCAGTTATTTGACTTTTAATACGGCGAATATTTTTCACGAGATCCGGACTCTTGTGTGTCCAAATATCATTGTACTGATGACGTCACATTTCTGGAACCACGGGAGCACCATTCAGATTTGGACAAACAAGAGTCTGGCGATAAAATATCACTGTTTTGGCCTCTTATCAACGCAGCATTGCTTGAATAACGATCATTGGTGATAAAAAAGTTAAAGAATAACAAGATGCTTTGATTTGTCTCATATTTTTCAGAAATGGCTCCATAATCGTCATTTTAAAATTTGAAATTTTCTGAGGTGTCTCATCTTGAGGAATATTTATTGAGCTACTGATCCTACTACAAAAGAATCTGGCCGGGATCTATGGCTTAGACCTAGACTATCACCATTTTTTGGCCCCATTCTTTTTTAGAAAATAATGGCATTCAATATATAAAGCGTAGATCATAATAATTGACACAATGGTAGTGATAAATGACATCCCATTACCTTCTGTATATCTGTTTTATATCTTGAAATAGTTCAGTACCAATTCCTTTGCCTATAAATGCGAATAAAACACGATAAATCTGAATGTTTTCAAAATATTTTTTTCGAAATATCAATGGGCGATAATATATCAATAATTGTGGGAGCATAACAAGTTTTAATTCCACAAGAATAGGTACATTTCTGTACTATAATAGAAGTAAACATATTTATGAACACATGCAGGATTTTGATTATTTTCTGAATATATGCGTTATTTATTGATAAAACTGTAAACTAAAGAAGACTACCCAAAAATCATACTGGGTGTGTCATGACCTACTTTAGAGGTAAACTTTAGTTCGTGAAGATGGGTCTGTTAGATGCCTTCAACTATTTGGAGATTTATTGGGGATTCCTGGCAATCGTCAGTGCCGTGGGATTTCTGTCAGGCAGAGAAGGTTCCATCAAGAAAAATATGAATGAAAAGGAATCATTTTTTCATATTGAAAGCAGGTTTGTACAACTTTTTTTAGGCCAAACTTTTTGAAGTTGCAAATGCATTTGAATCTTTTGGAGGGGGGGGGGGGGGAGCTGAGCCCACACATGCTCAGCAATCTGATGTTGTTTTGTATCTGTGTGGGTCTTGATGCCACACTATATGATGCTTACTTCAATCAGTAATCAAATACTTATTTAGGCACAATTTTGCACCTTACACATGTACAGTGCTGGTATATATTAATTGATCAGTCGTTTAATTGGCATATTTTCTTGAATTTTAACATTTAATGTCCCAAACTCCCACAAACTGCAGAAAAGTATACCCCATAAATCATATTTACCAAAATAAGTGTCTCCAAGACTTCACACCAGCGTATGCATAATGCATTTTTCACGAGTTTGAGCTGAAATTTCGCCAAAATGAAGTAGGCTGAGGGTAGTCTCTGCCAGGTTTGTTTATTGTGGTAAGCTTGTAAGTGCTCGGAAGCAAATAATTCACGTGCGCAAAATAATCAAATAATCTAATTGGTCTAAACTTTGCTGCACATGCGCACAATGTGTGCCATGTTTTTTTCTAGTGATTTCGTTTCGTTTCATGGAGTTTGCGTTTCAGTGTAACTTCCGCAAAAATGGCCGACCATGGACAGAATTAACAGGTAAAATCACTTCGAAATTTCCAGAGAACTTTTTACCTATAATTGCAAAACTTTTGTTTTATTTGTGCATTCTATCTATCAGATAAGAGTTTCAGGGGTATGTAGGCAAATTCATTTTGGTAGGAACACTCTTTTTAGTTTGAAAACGCACCCTATATTATTATATATCAGCACTGTAGGTCAAAAGGTGTGACTCAATAAACCTAAAGGCCCGGTCACACCGCCCTGACGTTGCTGGAGCGTTCCTTGAACGTTGAAAAAATTCATCGACGCTCGTCAACGCGCACAAAATGGGGAAAAAAAACAAAAACACGGGCGTTGGCTTAGCGGTGCACCGCTGAAGCCGGCGTTGCTTTAGCGTTGGTTAAGCGGTTGCGTGCGGTAGCTAGCGTTTGTTTGGCGGTAATGCGAGCGTTGGTATAGCGGCGTTCTGCGCATGAGAGCGTTGCCTTGGCGGGGGTATAAATAGCAGCAGCGTTGGTTTAGCAGCATATCGCGTTTGACTACTGGGGAATTATTTCAAGTGGGAAGTGTTTAAGAGTAAAGACCTTTATTGGAATTTGTAACTTTAACAAAAGTCCTTCAAGGATTAAAGAAGAAATGTTTTAAATCTAAAGTGCTTCTATTAATGTAATATTACATTAAGAATGAATAACATTACAATTTTCTTTAATAATCTCTCATATCATTTCAAACAAACATATCACAATTTAACCCTTTCACGACGATAGGCTCCATATGGAGCCCTATTATGTAATACCTTTCAGGACGATAGGCTCCTTTTGGCACCATTATTTTTATCTATATACATCAATGAAATGATAATATCTCCAGTTCTATTCAGTATTTTTACACTAAATTTTGACAAGTTGTTCTAATGTGATAATCCTTACTAAAAAATTGTATTTCAGTGATAAAATTCAGGGTATAGGTCCCGGGGCGTAGGTATTTTGCAGTTTTCCCCTAAAAACTGCTCTTACTTATCCGTCACCAGAGCCAACATTTTCCTCTTATATTCACGTCGGGAAAGGGTTAATCGTTGCATTTCCATTACTTGGAACCGATTTACGTTCAAATTGCTTCAACAATGTCAAATAACATTTACAGCAAAGTAATAATCATGACGCATGACAAATTTTTGCATTGCTGTGTGCGCATCAACTTTTTGTATAATACCATGACGAGTGCAACATTTTACAAGCTGCACAGAAAATTCACAGATAATTTATTGAATTGCTTGACGTGAAAACACTAGGTATATACTTTATTTGAATAAAGGTCTCAGTAAAAGTCTATTTGTATTAACATTTAATGAAAAACAAAAATCGCATAATTCACCTTTTTAAAATCCAAAATCACAAACTTTGAGCGCTTAATTTAGGAATTTACAATGCAAAAAATTGAAATGCCAGACATGAATATATATCAAATGTAAAATGCACAAGTGTCTCCACAGTGTTCTACACAGTGGTGCATTTCTCCACGTATTTATAGCCAAATTCTGGTCCTGCTCCGACACCTCTATACCAACGCCAAAGCAAAGTTCATCGCCGCCATGGAACGCTGCGACAACGTCTGACACCGTTCCAACAACCCCATGTACGCTGATAAAACGCTAACAACCGCTCCACCGAAGTTTGTGCAACGTTTAATCGCCGCCCGGGCAACGCTGGCGAAGCAGCGGTGGTCCAGCGTTTAAGATTTCTGCGTTGGTCTAGCGGATTCAAGCGTCCACGAACTTGCGTCTAGCGGTGCCAAACTTTGACTGGGCGTTGGTGGAGCGGTGATAAACTTTGCCAGGGCGTAAAAGTGTCCCTTTTTCAACGCTCGCAATATTTTGAGCAGCTCAAAACCTTTGGAGCGTTAGGATGGCCACTCGAGAAACATCCGCGTTGGCCGAGCGTTTACAGCGTTGCTTTAACGGATGCCAACTTTTGTTAAACGGTGGTGAACGTTTACGAGCGTTGATGATTTTTTTCAACGTTCAAGGAACGCTCCAGCAACGTTTAGGCGGTGTGACCGGGCCTTAAGGCCGTAAACCTAGAGTCCATTTCACTGCTTCAGTTCGTCAGTAGAACGGCAAAAATAAGAAATTGGGAGACCATTGTGCAATAATATATGGGAAAGTATATTCATAATGTAAATGAATGACATTTGTATATCTTGGATTGCTTCTAGTTTGGCTTATAAAGTGTGTGGCCTCTTATATTTGGATGTTTCTCTGCCATGTTATTTTCAATAAGATTAACATGGCTGAAATTCTTCAAATTACAAGACGGCACAGGCTTATTGCACAAAAAACTAAAAAATCTGAAATATACAAATGTCATTCATGTACATTATGAATACACTTTTCCATATATTATTGCACAATAGTCTCCCAATTTCTTATTTTTGCCGTTCTACTGACGAAATGAAGCAGTGAAATGGACTTTAACCAATAAGATTTTGATAATACACAGTCATAGATGTCGGCAAAATTCTGATTTGTAGTAGGATCAGAAGCGGAATAAATATTCCTCAAGATGAGACACCAAATGAAATGTTAAATTTTAAAATGACGATTGTGCAGCAATTTCAGAATAATATTAGACAAATCATACCTCATTCAAAGCATCTTGTTATTCTTTACCTTTCTGATTACTAATGAATGGTAGAATGGTATACAACTAATACAAGTCATCCTGCGTTGATAAGAGGCCAAAGTAGTGATATTGTATCGACATGCTCTTGTCTGTCCAAATCTGAATGGTGCTCCTAAAAAAGGGGGACACAGGGGTTTCCCCATCGTACCCTAGTATGTATCTAACAGACAGACTAGAAGTCAGTCTGTTATGATATACTGCAGTTCTGTTGAAATTGCAGTGAATTTTTTTGCACAAAATTATCAATTTGATGAAGCATTATAGTTCACAAAAATAAACATTATAACACTTCAATTAAGTAGTAAGGTAATTGGAGCAAATTAGTTTACTCCATCGGCCATTTTGAATAGCACTTCCTATGTAAACAAATATTTTGAATTACCAAATCTTAACATAGGTTGCTTATAGTCTGAATATTATTCAGACTAAATAGGATATAGTCTATATCGCATCCCCTGGCTACACCCATGTGTTAGATGCCCAGGGTTAGGTGGCTTTCATCACTGAACAGCGTACCTCAAAAAGCAATCACAGATCACTAGGCAAGATCTGATTGTTGTATATCTAGCTCAGTTGGAATGCCAATGATTCCAACCTGTTTCTTTATTATTGGGACACCCAAGTCCAAGGAAATATAGTAGCTCAGATGATGATAATGTACAACTTTCTATGAATGATTTATTTGTGAAAACTTAAGTTAGTTGTCAATCAATGTTTTTAATGTCATAAAAAGTCAGTTGAGGTTTCTTGCCTCATAATCCAATAAAACTCATTTATTCACCTATATGTAGGAAATAAATATTTTAAAATTATAATTCTTCTACCCCCCCACTTGTCTACTACCTAAAGTAATGTAAACTTGTCTTAAATAGGAAAAGACTTTTAACAGATATATTTGATTTAAAAATTACACAGCTTATCATACAACACCTCATGTGTATATAAAATATCAAAGTCACAAGAATCAACATACATTCAAACATTTTACTTTGAAGAGTTCTATATAGTCTAATAATGGGTTTTTCCTTTAGACACTGTTTGCTTTTCATGCAAACCATTTAATATCCCTAGGATTTTTCTAACAGGGAACTATTACTATACTGTATCCTGTTTTGGTCAAATTCATTATGTAGTCTTGCCTCAAGCTTTTCTGACCCCCAAACACCTCACCTCTCTAGAAAAATGCAAATTCTTAATTTCTCTCTATATCGTGTTGTGGATGATGATATTTCGCGGGGAAAAAATCTTTTTGAGCATTCTTACATTGATTATGTTTTGGATTTTAATTATGACATTTGTATCATAATTTCAGTTAATTGTGGTATCTAAAATGGACAACCAGCTCATATTTTAGATATTTGCTTGAATTTTTCTCTTTTTGTGTATTTTTTTTTATTTCTGTGCCACAGTATCACAAGTAAAATACATGTACGGGGTATAAAAACAAAACAGCTGGTATCAGATTATGAGACACCATAAGAGGATATACCACCTTGCTATGGCTATGTTGAATGCTTTACTTTATGACGCTTGTCTATTTCATTTCAGGTTCACTCTGTACTATATTGTGTCTCTACCATTTGTTTTGTGGACTCTTTACAATGGTATATGCGCACATTGCCTTGGATGGGGAGCTAGTGAAAGACTCTCATCCTTAGTAAATACACTTTCTACACCACACAAGCCTTCCACAGGTAGGCATTTTTTAACATACAGAATGGTTCTCATATTTTTGTAAAAATATTGGATCGTGTTTTCACGGGCAAAGAATAATACTATACTTGAATATAAATGTGCAGTTTGAGAAAGAATTTATGTTGCAAACACGTATTTGTTAAATAGCATGTAAAGCTTACTAAAGTGTAACGAACTAGATTTCAATTGAAAGAAAAAATGCTATAAATATGTTGAGTTCTGACCTGTTTATTTGAATATATTGCAATCTGTGAATATATTCTTATTTACACATGTCTGACCTTGTATTTATGTCCTTGGACTTTCAAAGGCTCCATGCGAAGTTTGAAAATATCTTTTAGTTTTCCAAATATAATTTTTTTTGCTTATCTGTTAATTTCTCTCTTAATTTTCAACCAAAATTCTTTTATCAATAGCAGCCCAGGATGTTAAACATTGGAGCAAATTTTTGTTTAATGGTTGATGCTTGTGACAACAAAATTTCAATTCAAATAAATTCACAAAAAGTTCTTCAAAAACAACTCTGGAATTCAAAATGTTTTAAGATTATAATATAACCCTAGGTGGTTTAAACTTTACACAGGACCTTTAAATGGCATAACCTGTTATTAAGGAAATTTTGGAAATTGAAAAGAAATTTCATTTTTTTTATTTTTACTGAAAAGATTGGTAAATACAAGTATCTCTTCAACCTCTCAATTTTTTTAATTATGGGATTTTCCTTAAAGTAAACATTTTAATTTTTTTCCAGATCACCTCTCAGTGGTGCTATGTCTAGGGCTGTTCGCCTTCCAGTTAGCAAGACGTCTTCACGAGACCTGGAATATCAGTATATTCTCTAAGACATATGTCCCCTTCTACTATAAACTCATGGTATGGGTGGGACTTTTGTCCTCTGCTCTGTGTATCATTGCTGAAGGCCCAAGATTTGGCACCGAAGGAAGTAAGTACAACCTGTCAGGGTTTTCTTTTGATGCACTTCTGGTTACCGAGATGGCTGGGGCCGTTTAAATTTAGAAACATTCGAAGATTTGTTAAACAGCAACACTTACACAATTAAGTTGCGGTAAATTAACGAAAAATAGAGTAAATAAAACTTTTCAAACTGGCCATTTTGGAGCTTACAAATGATTCAATTGAATGAAGTGTTTCACACTAAAGGAACAATATATCATTCAAACATGGATTGAGTCCAGTTAGACTAGTTAGAATGTCTGTTGTCTGTTAAATATTCTGTCAATAACACATTGATTGGATTTACGATAATGAATGTAAAACTGATCATCGTTACCTCTGGGAATGGATCATTTTGTTAAATAATGTTACCAAATCACTTCTTTCATTATACCATTTCACTGTTCAAAATTAGACATCATTCACCAATTTTACACTAATTTTCTCTTAAATTAGTAGTTTTGCATCAATTCTTTTGAACCCCCATCTACTTCATCAGAGATGGGGTATATAGGTTGGGGTTTCAAGAACTTGAAACAAGACTACCCTTCATGCTAGACAATGCAATTTATTATGAGTTGAAAGATACCAAATGTATTTTTTCATATTTTTATCACGGAAAAAGAGTTATATTGCCGGCATCTTGTGGGTGTGCGGATCTGCAAGCGGGCATGTGGCATATAAATCAAATCTAGTAATCAAAATTTCGGGAAAACCGCTAACGTGTTCAACTTGAAATTTTAAAAATGCAAGAACAGACTAAAGTCAAGATCTGATTAGGTTTTGGGTATACAGCTGGCAAGGTGGCGATTTCATAATTATTGATAAATCTTGTCACCAAAATTCCAGGAAAACCGCTCATTCGTTCAACGCGATATTTTTACAGATGCAAGAGCATATTAGTGTCAAGATCTAACTAGGATTGGGCATGCTGGGTAAATTACATAGTGGCCATTTTGCTCTTCAAAGTGCGATATTTATCACTCTGTATCCTGATACTTTTATATTTTCCAGAGTTTGAATACTTTTTAACAAGTAGTGACCTTTGCTAAAGTTGTTCTGCTTTGGCGCATTCTTATTTTTTACTTGTAAACATGTTAAACTGCATTTTTTGGTAAAAATTCACATTGAACATGACTGAGATCATTTATATTCACCTTAGATAAATATCACGTGAATGGATGCTGTTTTGGGTCATATTTATGGAAAGGTGTTTGATCAATTTTATAGTACAGTAATAGTAAATTTTGATAAGCTAATAGCCATTCCCCAGGAATCATGAATAGATCTGTATATGTAAAAATCTTTTACTACAATTTTATTAATAATATCAGGGTATTAAATAATGCCCTTATAAGAAATTGAAGATGGATCCATTTTTATTATGTTGTATTTGTCATAACAATTCTTTTTTTCTCCATTGATTTTCATGTTATTTCACGCAAGCAAAATCAGCTTCTAATAAAACTTCTGTACAACACATGTATCACAAATTAATTCATAGATTCTACATTCATTTTCTCTTCATACAGTTATATTTTTATTATATTTATGTCAAGGTCTTAGGAGCATATAACATGTCACTAAATACATTTAAAAACTGTGAACTGAAAACCAGCAATTACCTTTGAATACAAAAACAAGTTTGCATCTTTTATGGCCAGTGCATATAAATATATTAATTGTACTAAATGTATTTCGCAAAGTTGAAAATGGTACTAAACATTAAGCACATATTGTCCATTTTCTATCCAATATTATCTTTAAAGGAAATAACTGCAAGGGTAATATCCATAAATCATGAAAATATCAAAAAAAGATTTTCGAGACATTTTATGAAGGGTATAGTTGTTATACTTACAGAGATTTAGGCCATCTTGCTCTAATAAATGTTCACAATTTATTTGTGAATATATTTGTCTTATATTAAAAACCTTGATACATAAACTGATGTACACATTTTCTGCATTTGAATGCTATAAGACATTGCCTAGCAGTGATTTCATTTTGATAACCTATGTACATGTATATGTTATTTACTGTCTCATACTATCCAGTGTTAATTACAAATATTCTTTGTTAATGAAATATTATTATCATTAATTATTATTGACTCTATTAATAACATATATGTTTACAATGTAGATCCTCTGCCCTCCTATATAACTTCACTTGTATGCGTGAATGCAAGTAACGGCTGTCGACTATAGGATTAACTAGGGGTGGGACGGTTACCCGAAATTGTTCTGTTCCGCGGTATTTGGGTTCGGTATCGGAACTCGGAACACGAGGAAGCACTTTCAGAATGGGACAAGACACCTCAAGCTCAGTATTTTTCCACCAATTACAGGGTGGGCCAAAAAATTTTGCAACCTTTTTAGAAGGCAAAAAAAGTAACATAACATTATGGTATTGACATGAAATTTTTTTTACAGAAACTTAAGGATAGGCATATTTTACCATTGAAATACTTAAGCTTATACTGACTTCAATTTTTTTTGTCAGATGTTTGAATATTACTGGTAAATTGTTCTGCAATCTTTGTTAAGTGGTGTAATGGGCAGCTATTCATCAGGACTAATGAATCAAGGGGTATTTTGCTCCAGATATTCCATAGTGACTTTTGGCCTATGGTCAGGAGCGCTATCCTGCTGGAATATGTAATCACTTGGGGCTGAAAGAGCTCCCATTCTTGAAAGATGTCCCTTTAGAAGAAGATTAATCCTGAGTCGAATGGCCACCCAATACACCAGATGCCAACCCCTGGGACTATCACACATGGGGGCACCTGGAGCAATGTATTGTAGTTAATGGTTATACCCCACAAATTATTGATCAACTATAAGAAATTCTGCAGGATAAGTGGAGACGACTACCACAAGAACTGCTGGATCTCGCCATTGACCAGTTCAGTTCTCGTCTCCATGTGATTGTTAAGGTGAAAGGCGGATGCATAGAACATTTGTTTAATAGATAATTAATACAGTGTAACAATATTACCATAGTGACTAGATCCTGATATAAACCTGTACTAGACATTGGTTAAACAGTTATCAAAGATTGTAGCAGATTTAGTATAAACATAATGAATGTGTTATTGTTGATCACATAAAATCATAGAAAGTCCGATTTTCTCGGAAAATGGTAAATCTCGGACAAATGAACAATTTACCATTAATATTCAAACATCTGACAAAAAAAATTGATGTCAGTATTAGCTTAAGTTTTTAAATGGTAAAATATGCCTATCCTTGAGTTTCTGTAAAAAAAATTTCATGTCAATACCATAATGTTATAATACTTTTTTTGCCTTCTAAAAAGGTTGCAAAATTTTTTGGCCCACCCTGTAGATCGTAAATAAGCAGATTTTGTCTAAAATCAAAAATAAATTTTAAAACTTACGAGAGATTCTCCTTCAAATTTTAAGAGTCAGTATGCGCTAGAACTACAACTTTAGCAAACGAAAACAATCAATATTTATTGATTAAATATAGCGGTAGTGGACGATCCGATAAAATCCCGTTCGATGAAGAATAACTATATTATCATATCAATTAATCAATTGTGCAGTGTATATGAATAATATTTCAATCATCGCGATCTTTTATCTTTGTTTCAAATATTTAATTCGTTTCATTTCAAGTTTGACTTCGTAGGCTCTCTATAATGGCAGCACCGACCGAAACTTTTACGATAGAAAATGCTCCAAAAAACCTCAAGAGCTCAGTTTGGGAGCACTTTGGTTTCCCAAGACTGGATCGATGGGGTAAAGCAGATGTTCCGTTCCGAAAACGTTCCGTTCCGAAGGTCTAAATACCGTTCCGTCCCGTTCCGAAATTTTTCTGTTCCGTCCCACCCCTAGCATTAACCTACTTATTTATGACCAACTCATTTAGATATGAATGGAATAGTGGCAGGTAGAACTCATTTAGATATGAATTGAATAGTGGCAGGTACTATTCACATTTAAACGAGTTGCCCATAAAATAGTAGTTTAATCCATTAGCAGACAGTTGCATTTGCAACAAGCTTAATCTTAAGAGCATTAAGAAATTACATACTCTGAATTTAAAGATGCCAAATTTATGTCTTTTTTGTTTCAGGTTGTTTCTCCCTAAGTGGACTACTAAGATGGAACTTTGCCGCAGGCCTCTTTCTCTTTGCATGGGGAACACAATTACATCATAACACACAGCAACAATTAGCTAGGCTCAGAAAAAATAAAGCAGGTAAGAAATTGTCTCTTTGAATAAGAAAATCTGATAAGCATTTTTCTAAATATTATTATTTTGTGGCACCAGGGATGATATGACACTGTCTCACCACCACAAGTGGTGACATATCGTTATAGTCTCCAACTTTTTGTGGACAGCGTTTGGCATTCAGGAGTTGGTGTTTGGTTGTCAGTGTTCAGCATTGGTCATCTGTAACAAATATAATTATTAACAGTTATATGAAGATATTACGCCGCTCGTATTGGTTATTAGTTGTATAGCACAAAAATCGTATAATCATTACCTTATATAGATGTCTTATATTAAATTCAATTGGATTTTATCATATAGGGAACACCTCCGTACGTCTGTCCATATGTACATCCGTCTGTCCGTCCCGGCAATAACTCAAATACCATTGGCCTGATTTTGTTCATATTTTGTAAACATATATCATATGGGAGTTGAAGTTCTGCTCAAAAGCCGATTTCCAAAATGGCCACTAATTCAAAAATGGCGGCCATTTTAGTGCAGATTTTACAGTAATTTAGGTACAATATGTAAAACTGTAGTAGCAATATGCTAGAAATGTAGATCTTAAAGAAGCACAGAGCGATTCTGTTCATATTTGCTATATGTGAATACTATAAGCATGGCACACTGTCTTATGACACTTGTGGTAGAAGGTGGTCATTTTGATGGCTGTCATTTTTGCTATGCTTTGGTGCTGCTGTTGTCTAGTTTGAGTTGTGTATTATGGAGTGTTATTCTTCTGAGTTGTAAAAAACTGGTAAAGTGAAACAAATCACACTTATTTGCAAATTCATTTTCAGGTCATATTGTAACAACTGCCTACAAGATGCCCAAGAATGGATGGTTTGATAGTATATCGAGTCCTCATTACCTAGCAGAGATCGTTATTTATATCGGCATTTGGTTGGTGCTCGGATTCCCAACATTCGGTGCGTTCACCTATTATGTGATTTATGTCACATTTAGAGAACTCAGCAAGGCACGTACAACTCATCTTTGGTACCAGCAGAAGTTTGATGACTACCCTAAGGACCGTTATGCAGCCATTCCTTTCCTTATGTAAAATGAAAGTTTGTTAGAGGTGGGTCGGGTCAACCGTAGCTTGGGTAAGTGTAGGAATTGCAGGAATTGCCTCCCGAGGCTAGGTTGAGTGAAAAGATTACCCTCGTTCAAGTTCAGAATGGGACCGTGGATTCAATTATAAAGAAAAAGGACCTTTGGTCATTTGAAATCAATTTACACTATAAGTATAGTAACACAATGTCATCCAAAGAATCTAGGCCTAACCCAGCCCAAAGCAACCACACCTGACCTACCTCTATGCAATATATTAGAGGCCATGCTTTTAAATAGGAAAATTATGGAATGATTGAGAAATAAATGGAGTTGAAGTTATATGTACTAAATCAGAAAGCAATGCCAGAAAATCTGGTGGTTCATTAGAAAAAATGGAAAAGAATATGTCATATTCACCCATCATTCATTTTAGCTTTAACTGCAATATGGTGTTACTGTTTATCACTCTTAACCTTTCTTTATTCTGTTCATTTTTACCGAAGGTTGTCTAGCTTCAAATATCATCATTTGTTTACACAAGCAAGGTCATTTCTTGAAAATAAGTATAGGATGGTTTATATCATTATTTTGACATTATTATGAATAAGTTGAATCAAACAAAATCACTGGTGCATTAAACTGCTGAGGCTATTAATACAATATCTGGTATATATTTGGAGATCTACTATGCCTCTGAGATGTTCTTTTGAAAATGTTACTCATGAAATTAGATGTTAGATTTACAAAATGAACCTGTGCAAACTGTGATGGCTCCCACATACATGTATTCAATAACTGTGAAAAACTGTTAAATTAACAAATGTACCAATATAACAGTTTTTAACACCTTTCTGAGAAGATTAAGGGATTGTATTTGCTTTATTCAAAACTTCAGCTGTATGTACATAACGAGGGATTAAGCCAAACTTCACTATAGGTGCCATTAAATTGAGTTTTCAAGAACCTCAAAATCTTTTAAAAATGTTTTAACTTCTGTTTGTTCATCACAGTAAAGTCATTTCATTTATAGAGAAACACGAAGTTGAGAATGTCAATTAATAATTAATGAAAAGAATTATTTATTAATGAATTGTGATCTAAATACTGTACTCATGTATTCATATAATTTGTATGACGTATAATTATCGTAGCCTGTACATGTATTTACTTTATTATTCCAATATATTATAATAATTATCATTCCAGCATTTGTTCTCAATAAGAATAATTATGTGTATCAATCATTCCTAGCCTTTTATATTGAATCTAATGCAGTTTTTGTAACATAAGTACAGGTACATATTATTATAGGTGCTAGGTTTAATAAAATCTTTTCAGAGTGTACGAAATAATTTCCATTTTTAAAACTGATTTTCAGATGTACGTCAAACATATGCCATGTTGTAATTTTGAAAAAGCATCACATACTAAGACAGCCACATATTATTTAAAGTAGATGTGCTCCAATGTAGTATCTGTTTATACATAATGTATATACGAGTATATATGGTACAGACTGACCTAGAATTAATTTAGATGTGTGTCACCTTGAACGCTGGATATACACTGATGATTTTTTAGGCATATTCTAAATTATATGTCATTTGTATAAATTATAAGGAAAAACTGTGTATAAATATATGAACTTAGACTAAGTATGTCATCTACACTATTGAACATAATTCATAATTCATATTTTCTATTCATTTACATAAAAGGTCATCTTTTATAAGCATAAGAGGAGGCTAGAACATAGTTTATGGGGGTTATGTCTAGGTCTCTGCACAAAGGTTTTTAACCTTATTATGTGTGCAGTATCATGCATGGGGTTTTGATTACCCCTTTGAGAGTGGCGAAAACAGCTTGGTGAATGTTTGGTAAAATAGATGTCGATTTTATGAGTCCTCGTGATATATGCATAAAATGTATTTTTAACAACGTAACCTAGTAACACATTTAAAAAATGATTTTACCATGTGATCAGCACAAATAAGCGACCCTAGATTTTTAGCTATTCATTGCTTAATGAAAATGAATCAATTATCACTTCTTTTCAACAAATTTGTAAAACAGTATTTCTATATGTACGAGAAATATTATAGCTAGCTGTTAATAATTTACCCGATTATTTTCAATATGTATTCAGTTCAAAGTTCATACACAAAAAATGAAACTGCTCAACTCCAAGTACATGTATATGTGATACAAGTACAGATACAAGTACAGTAAAACCTGTCTAAAGTGAACACATTTTAGACTGGTGAAGTGTTCACACTGAGAAGTGTTCTTGTTGCGTAAAAGTAAATGGATACACAAAATATGGAAATGCAGGCCGATGGCCAGGATTTGCCAAGGGGGGTTCCCTTTTTGAAAAATTCCAGGGGGGTTCACTTGTGACAATTTTGGTCCAAAAATGGCCAAAATCACTTAAAAAGTGCTCAGAATGGTGAAAAATTGCATGATTTTGAAAAAGGCCTGAAAAGTGATCACAATTTATGTATTCATTAGGTGGTGATCATATACACATTTTGTTTTATAAAGTAAATTCTGGTTGTTTGAAATCCATTTTATGTGATTGAAATATTGTGTATATAATAGCTCATGTATGTATATGTTTAAGTCCCATTCCAGAATCAAATCCAACTTCTCAATTTTTAACTTATTGGTATTTTGTGTATGTATTTTACAATACATGTACATATATGTATACATATGTTATCACTATTACAATTTTAACTTTTTATGGAAGCTTTGTTCACAAAATGTATATAACATAGAGTGTAATTTTACATTTGTTTAAAGTACCATTATACAATCCCATGGATTTATAATAAAAGAATCAAACATTCCAGACTTCGACAACTTCCAGAGAATCGATATTGAGGCTGGTAAAGAGGGGTCTAACTTGGTTTCATGAAGAAATGAAAAGCAGAATCGTAGATTGAAAGAAAATAAGAGTCGCTTAAATGAATATAGCTCTACATGCAGTTTATCATGTTTATCTGCGTTTTTACATTTTATGGTATTTTTCTGAAAATAATTCTTCCAGTCTCATTGCACAAAGATACCTCTTTCCTGGCCTAAATATTATTCTTGGAATACAGTCCCGCATACAAGCATATAATGCATTATAAACTGATTCGTTTTTTTGTCAATCTTGTAACATAATGGCTGTCCTGTAAATAATCGAAGACATATAAGCACTCTTCCAGGGCTGTATGCAGGACTATATGAATTTGTATTACATACTTAGTTATGCCAAAAATAGGCAAGATCACAGGGCAGTATGACCTGCTTTGATTAATTACCATGACAACATTATGATGTCATTTCTTCCAAATTCAAACTTCACACAGATATGTGATATTTTAATATTTATTATACAAATTAGCTGTAGTAAGGAATAAAGGTACTATAATACATTTGCTATGTAGCTATGATGTGATGGTTTCATGCTTGTCCAAATATAGGACCTTCCAAATGTAGGCTCATATTGGTAAAACTCAGACATGTTCACACCATAGTTGCATAACCTCTAAATATATGATCAGTTATGTAGTGATTAGTGAAGGTCAATTATATATAATTCAATGTTATGTTTTCTTAATGGAGAAATACAAATCAAAGAATGTTGCTTTTATGACTTTTATCAGAGTACATGTACTCATATATTTGTTAATGTAGTTGATGTCAATAACAACAAAAGACAGCTTCTTAATAAATAAAAAAAAGTATTTATTCAAAATATTCTTTTGTTGGATATATGAATGCAAACATTTATTTTAACTTGAACATCAGGTTCAGATTACCCTTATGCTGTAGTTTCTGTTTCAATTTAGTTTCTTTAACTGCACTCTGAATAAGATATAAATCTGAATAAGACCATTTTCATATTCCTTTGGGGGTAATTGGCTTTTTAAGAATTGTGCTGAATCATAATGGAACTCCATCAATGCATGCTTTGATCAACAAGCTAAAACGAGAATAAGTGTAATGGGGTCAGCTGTGAGCAAACTCTTCATTCAGAAGGTTTATAAATGCCTTTTTTATTATTTGTTACTTTTTGTATGCAGAGATAATATCTCAAAAAATTAATAAGCGCACAAATGTATGCAATTGGGAGGGCCCCCCCCCCTTTGGTGGGCCCAGAAAAAAATTGGGCCCAAAACAATTTTTGAGCCAAAAAAGGCCTTTTAAGGCCTTATTTTTTAATTTTAGGCCAAATTTTCAAGAAAATGGGCCTCAAAATGTCAAAATTTGGGCTTGGTTATTTGCTCAGACCAGAAATTTGGCCCACCCCCCTTGTTGGTTCCCAGATCCGCCCCTGCAGCACCATCCAATCCCATACCTTTATAAAAATTGGCATTTTACATGTCTATCAGATATAGATGTTGCTGACTGCAATGAACCCAAATTTTAGGATCTGGTATGAGAATGCCCCCCAAATTATGAATTTTGAGGTATGGCAATCATGGATTTTTCCACTTTCTGGTTGTAGAAAATTATGTTATATCTCACTTGGTCTAGTACTGTTTATCCCGTGCCAAGACTGGCACGGGATAAAGTACTGTAGTTACACAAATCCTTAATTTGAGGTTGTTTTGTATGGGGTTTTGATATAATTGTCATTATAACAAATACATGTGCATGAAACAAAAGTAAGAAATCTATTTGACTTCAGGTATATTCATTTCAACGTACATGATGATCAAAGACAACTTTGATACACGGACCACACGGACACAAAACAAATATCGCTATAAACGACGTCATCAAAACAAGTGCTTGAAAATTCAACCAATGAAATTGCGAGTTATTAATAGATGGTGCTATATATAAAACAGCCATGTTGCATTTTCGATTAGATGTCAAATAATATTTCTACGAAGAAAAGACGGATAATTAACAATCTACAAGACCGATTACCGAATTAATTATCTCAAAATCAAGATAAGTATAGATATCTTGCACATGGATAATTGATTTCTTCATGAAATGTTGATTTCACGGACATTTCAACAAGAACTTCAGATTTTCAATAGATCTATCTGAATTCTCTTTGAATTTCTTATCTCAGCTGTGAAATCAAAACAAAGGCAGATTCAAGATTGAGCACTCAGAATGGACTAATATGTAACACCACATAGGCTCAACATACTTTTTCTCACTAAACTGTGTCTCTTAAACATAAATTTGACTATGTCTAAACCACTGAATGAGAATGTCGTGACATACAAGCTGGTCGTGGTCGGGGATGGAGGCGTTGGAAAGAGTGCACTCACGATACAATTTTTTCAAAAGATGTTTGTACAGGACTATGACCCCACCATAGAAGACTCATACATTCAGCATACAGAAATTGACGGTCATTGGTGCATTTTAGATGGTAAGTAATTGCCCTAGTCATGCAGGGAGATAACAAGTCTACGATAACATTTTTTTGTTTTAAAATGATTGAACCATTATTAACTCTTCATCTATAATTGGACCATTGTTAATTCTTCATCCAGAATTGCACCATTGTTTACTCTTCATCTATGATTGCACCATTGTTAACTCTTCATCCATAATTGCACCATTGTTAATTCTTCATCCATAATTGCACCATTGTTTACTCTTCATCCATAATTGCACCATTGTTTGCTCTTCATCCATAATTGCACCATTGTTTACCCTTCATCCATAGTTGCACCATTGTTTACCCTTCATCCATAGTTGCACCATTGTTTACTCTTCATTCATAATTGCACCATTGTATACTGACTTCATCCATGGTTGCACCATTGTTTAATCTT